GTGTGTTCATATTTTGTATATATTTATTCCGTCTTTAACCTATGTCTGTTCATTGTACATTTATTATGCCAAATAATCGTTGAAGTTTAAAAAGAAAGTACAAATACCGTTTCTAACGACACTCTAAAATTAATCGATCCTACATTCATTATATACTCGTACATTTTAAACGATCTAGTTTCATTTGATTTGAATATTGCCTGTGAGTTCACATATCTTTTGACTTGTCTGGATGTCTAGGATGTCTTCTTCTACTAGTAACCCACTCCGAGCAGGTTAACACGTTGACCGCCAAACGAATATCCTTAAAAATTTCTGCTGATATTAAATATTATTTAGACTACCGAAATCTATGTAATCAAACGTTTATCGTGCTATTTATTTTCGTAACTACATCAAAATTCATGAATTTCATTTAAATTCATCTCCTTTGATGTCAACTTTTCAGAATAAATCTTTTTAGTTCTTGAGTGAGACCCATACATGGGTGACACGGCAATCTACGTGTTAACCCGCTCTTCCTACAATTCAAGAACCGTTCCCTCGTGGTTAGTATGGGTTACAGTAACCTTCCCTTCATTAACCGGGTTTTGGGTTAGGGTTCAGCAGCGGTTCGAATCCCTGTTCCAAACACTGAACATTGTTCGTAGACAACCATCGACACGGTGAATAAATTCGAACAGCTAAATATTGCAATTAAAAAGCCTAAAAAAAATAGGCTCCCGGTAAATAAAGTGTTAAGTATTGAAAAAGAATTCACGAAGCGAGAATAAAGCATCGAAAGGAATAGATAATTGAAGCCTTCAGAAAAACGGTTGGTTAGAAAGAGAAACTCTTACGTGTGCACGAGCAGGCAGTAAATAAATAGACGAGTCATGAAATTGCCGTTGGTCCCAGGTTGCGTGTCGCCACGGTCGATTAGAAGGTACGCGAGTATCGAGAAAAATCGTAGCTTCGCCTTCGAAAGAATCGTGACGCTGTATCAACGGCCGATAATGGCGTCGGTTTCCTTTTCGCACCAAGTACGATTGTTCGAATTCGCGGGGAGAAAGGAACGTTTTACCGAGTTCTGGCCGTTCGCTTTCAGAAACAAGCGGACGGACGAAATACCTCGAAGGAAACTGTTGGATGACCAGATTGCGGCTACTAGCTCGTACTATACCCAATACGATTCTCCTTATAAAAGATAGGAACTTAAAAGATAGGAATTTTCGTCGTACGTCTACTATACGTTACAAAAAAGTAATCATTACAATAAATGATTAGTATCATTACAATAAATGATTAGATGTTGGAATTAATTCTGTAAATTATATTCTCCTTACAAAAGATAGGAACTTAAAAGATAGGAATTTTCGTCGTACGTCTACTATACGTTACAAAAAAGTAATCATTACAATAAATGATTAGTATCATTACAATAAATGATTAGATGTTGGAATTAATTCTGTAAATTCATTGTTGATTTATAAAGAAAAACCAAACAAGTTCTAATTTCATCTTCGTTCTAGCCTTGTTATCTAACATAATAAAATAGCCAATAAGTATTTCTACTTTTAATTTCTCCTTCGTTCTTGTCTAGTTATCTGTCGTAATAAAGTAGGAATTAAATGTGTCTATTTAAACCAAAGTCCTAGATAAAGACACAGAATTAATGTCTACTCTGCAGGAGACGGCTCCATGGAAGGTTAACGTCTAACACGAGTTAGAGAATGGCACCTAAATTGGACGACGCATAGCGTCTGTCCTGGATATGGAATCAACGGGTTTACGAGTTTCTTGCCCTGACTCAAACAGACCGAAAACGACGTAGTTGGGAATAGAATTATAGACATCGTAAAGTAGCGCTAGACGTCGACACGGTACTGCGTTCACCTCCGAACTATTTTTTCCAAGTATGCTAGTTTGCGTATGTGCTGATGAAAAATTGCGTTTTTTCGCTACGTACGCGCGATGTGTACTGGTTAATTGTAATTTATTATGTAGCAGTCGAGAACTCGAGAATAACAGATGACTCACGTAACAACGCCCGAGAGTTCGATGTACAACGATTCGAAGAATCGCGTCTAGTCTACCGCCGACGTTTACACCGTTTACTTTCTTTCGATAAGAATTCGCGCGATGACTAATCGAAAATCTAGCGTGGAAAACGAGACTACTTAATAGTCGTTTGTCTAAACACGTAGCTCGTCGCGGTGACGAACGATTCTAACCTCAAACCGGAAGCGGCTTCGTAGAGAATCGTTAAACCTCGCGATTAACCTATCCGCGAACGTTGTACCGTGTTCGATGCAATGGAATTTTAGACGATTTATTTAGTTATTACTAGACTGCGGATCTTTATGCAAAATGAAATCTTTGCGAACGTACCTACGAAAATTGAATCTTAGCAATTTCGGAATTTGCACTCTGCGAATATTATAATATGAACTTTACTTTCAACGTTTTTGTACGTTATTGCATACTGTGTGCATTATGTAGCTTCTTTCACATTCAAATTTTCTGTAAACGCATAAAAATCCGCAGTCTAGTTATTACCGTATCCAAATTTCGTGCACTTACGGCACGAACTAATTTAGTAAATCAGGGCTTCTTAAATTATGGGTCGCGTGATTTTAATGTAAAACATTTAATATTCTCTTTTATTTACGTTATTGCGAAAAATGCAGTTTTTATGAAAAATAGGGTATTATCATTTTTCAAGCTATAATAAATGCAATTTAACAAATTTTCGCGCAATTTTCAATGTCGCATTTCTGTATGTTTTTAAACAAATTCTAAAACTATATTTTTTCATATGCGTA